CACCACGCCACACGGAAGCCCCAAGAAGACCAAAAACAAAAAAACAACCTATTTTTAAGAAATAGGCCCGATTTTTGTCCCAAGCATGCTTGAAGGAATTGGGGCTTGTAGAGCCCACTGTCGGGTGTAGTTTCCAGGAGCCACAGGGGATCCACTCACCACGCCACACAGAAGCGCCAAAAACAACAGAATATCATAGCGGGATTTGAATAGACGACCTTTCGATTCCGACGCGCGTGGTTACCGACCGGGCTAAACGGACACTTCTGATGAAGACAATACCCAAACCACACAGACAAGAAGACCATGCAGAGAAGCCCCAAGAAGACCAAAAACAAAAAAAACAACCTATTTTTAAGAAATAGGCCCGATTTTTGTCCCAAGCATGCGTTGAAGGGAGTGGGGCTTGTAGAGGCCACTGCTGGGCGCAGCTTCCAGGAGCTACAGGGGATCCACTCACCACGCCACACAGAAGCCCCAAAAAACAAAAAAACAACATATTTTTTAGAAATAGGCCCGATTTTTGTCCCAAGCATGCTTGAAGGGACTGGGCCTTGTAGAGGCCACTGCTGGGTGTAGTTTCCAGGAGCTACAGGGGCTCCACTCACCACGCCACACAGAAGCCCCAAGAATACCAAAAACCAATTTTTAAGAAATAGGCCCGGTTTTTGTTCCAAGCATGCTTGAAGGGACTGGGGCTTGTAGAGGCCACTGTTGGGTGTAGTTTCCAGGAGCTACAGGGGATCCACTCACCATGCCACACAGAAGCCCCAAGAATACCAAACACAAAAAACAACATATTTTTAAGAAATAGGCCCGATTTTTGTCCCAAGCATGCTTGAAGGAATTGGTGCTTGTAGAGCCCACTGTTGGGTGTAGTTTCCAGGAGCTACAGGGGATCCACTCACCACGGCACACAGAAGCCCCAAGAATACCAAAAACAAAAAAACACATATGTTTGAGAAATAGGCCCGATTTTGACCCAAGCATGCTTGAAGGAATTGGGGCTTGTAGAGGCCACTGTTGGGTGTAGTTTCCAGGATCTACACGGGATGCACTCACCATGGCACACAGAAGCCCCAAGAAATACCAAAAACAAAAAAACAACCTATTTTTAAGAAATAGGGCCGATTTTGACCCAAGCATGCTTGAAGGAATTGGGGCTTGTGGAGGCCACTGTTGGGTGTAGTTTCCAGGAGCTACAGGGGATCCACCCACCATGCCACACAGAAGCCTCAAGAATACCAAAAACAAAAAAACAACCTATTTCCAAGAAATAGGCCTGATTTTTCCCAAGCATGCTTGAAGGCATGCTTGAAGGGATTGGGGCTTGTAGAGGCCACTGCTGGGTGTAGTTTCCAGGAGCTACAGGGACTCTTCCACCCATGCAGGGCAGAGAGCCCCAAGAATCCCAAAGACAAAAAACAACCTATTGTCAAGAAATAGGCCCGACTACCAGTTTGGATGTGCAGGAAGCCATGGCAGGCATTCAGCCCCCCCCCCAACAAATGCAGACGAGGTGAATGAAATTATTGAAATTAAACGAGGCGAGGTGAATAATTTCAAAACATGAAATTAAGACGAGGTACGAGGTGAACGAAATTAATGAAACTAATTTAATTCACTCAGATGTTTGGGGGACTTGAAGCTGCGAAGCTACGTTTCAGCTGACAGGTCATGAAAAACAAGATGCGAAGGTGAAGTATTCAGCTTCATTGATGCTTTGTCACGACTCTGATGATGTTTCCGTATATGATTTGTTCGCAGGGACGCTGAAGCACCGCGTCCATCTCAAGACCCTCACCAAAAATACGTCCAGTCTTCAAGACCCTCCCAAAAATATGGTTTAATTTGATCGTTTCATAGCATGCCCAAAACTCCATCTTGAGGAAGAATTCCTGCTTGGCTTGGGCCCTCGCGGTGGGAGACGTTGCCTTCGAGGTCCTCCGGATTCCTCGAGAAGGCACTGCTGCACTTCGGCCAGGTGCTCCGGCGCTCCGGGTCCGAGACATGTCAGGCATGGAGGCCATTGAGTTGGACATGTCGCTGCCCCGATGTCCATTGGCCATGTGGAGAAGTGACATGTTTAACCAAAGGGACATGTCACTGTCATTGTTTTAATTGCTTCTTTAATGCATTGGCTTTAATTGCCTCTTTCTACAGGAGCTGGACTTGGAAGGAGATGTGGGGTGCCCAGAGACGTTCTTGCTTGCTGCCTGAGCATGCAGAGTGGTCATTTTGTAGAAACGCCACCGGGGTGGTACGCAATTCTTGTGGCTGGGTGACCCCACATATCCCCACATTTATGCAGATGTGATGTTTTATCAGTTTCCATTTAGCTTCCAGGCTGTGTGACTCTTGTTTGCGGTTTAGGGTCCATAACACTCTGTACACGAGCATGTTCTTACGCATGAAAGCTTCAAAGCGTGGGTGATGATTTTCATTGGACATGGCAGAATGGTCCTTTGCAAGGACTACTGACTACTGCCCTTGCCATACACTTGCATAATATGATATGATTGTTGGATGCAAAGTTAAGGAACCACCTAAAACTTGAACATATACACTGGTTTCAGAGTAGATGGCGCAACCCCCAAAAGGTGTTTTATATGGACCCCTATATGGAAACATCTTGGGGGTTGTGCCATTGACTCTGAAACCAGTGTAAAATTGCTTGAATATAATGTTTTCCACGCACCACCACCACGCCCCGCCGCTTCAAGGTGGGTATGTTCTGGTTCGACGTGGCCAACGTGGCCCGATCGGCCAGGGTGGCCGAAGCGGCACGTGAGGCGTTTGTCGGGGGTGCCCAGCTGGTGCAAGGGAGCGACGGCTCAGAAGCTAAGCCATTGGTTCCATCTCCCAGCCCCATGGAGTGTCTGTGTATTTCCTTCTATTCTTCTGATTCTTCTCCATCTTCTCCATTGAGTTCAGGGAGCTGAACTCGGAGCGACCACGGGAGTTGGCTCCCCGCAAGGGACCAGGCACGAGAGGCTTCCGGACCAGAAGCGATGGACATGGGAAGGCACTTCTTGGAATCCATCGAAAGCCAAAGCAGTGCTGGATGTTGCTGGTGCTGCCGCATGCGGCTTTCGAATGTAGGCCGCATGTTGCTGGTGCATCCCGTTTAGGGTCCTTTAGATTGAACAGCCAAGAGACAAAACACACAAAAACACCCCAGGTATCAAACTGTGAACTTTTCTTTTGTATTTTGGGTGTTTTCGATTCAGTGAAACCTTATTTTTGTTAAACGTATTTTTCTCATCGTCACCAATAAAACCCCTGCATCACCTCCCATTGCGGTCTGTCCTGCATAAGTCCCCTGTTAGGACAAGACGCGCATCACTGCGGACACTCATGGTCTCACAGCGGAATTTGTACATCGAAAAGTGAACCAAACCGAACCACCGACACACGAGAAATCATCCAGATCCATTCAACGGAGTCTCCCAAGAGGAGAGCAACTTCGAACAGCCAGCGTCCATCATCTGAGCCAAACCACGAATTTCTTCAGGAGCGAAAAACGGAACAGCGCCGACAATCGCACCTTGAGGGAACGATCGGCCTTCCGATTTCCTTGTTTGCAAACAAGTGTAACCGGGAAACACCTGGTGGTCAGGAATTTTGCCAATGTGCACAAAAATCCTGCGCAGCCAAAAGGATAGATCCCGAAAAGTAATATCATCGCCACAACATGCTTCAAGAGTGTATATATCCACGTTTCTGAAATAAAAATGCAAGCTCCATGTAGGAAGTGCAAAAGGCTTCACCAACTTTCCAAGCCAGAGCTCTAGCAAAACCAACAAAGGTCGTGATGTCAGAAGAGGAGTGCTGGGAAAACCACGGGCCTGACGTGTCTAAGACATGCACAAAGCGCCATGGAAAGTCAGCAATATTCTGATTCCAATCCCATCGTCCAAACTTCCGTTGAAGGGAAATATTGCCCTCGCAAGCTGGAATCTCATCAACAACTACCGTTCCGGGAACCTCCGGAGTAGATAACTCGTTTAATCGAGCTAAAAAGTACTGTCGTGCAAAGACAGCCTGTTGCATCTGTGAAAACATCTGAACCTCTATAGGAAGAGAGGCAGCCGCGATCCGCTTGGCTGCTTGATCAGCCTTGCGGTTACATATGATGTTCTGTACTGTTGTTCCGTGATCAGCAGCAAAAGCTGAAGAAATAAGAAATTCGGGGATGTCATCCCCGATGTGTGACGGGATCCAGAACAAACGCACCGGTTGGCACCCATTCACATCCCGAGAAACATAAATCCGTAAAATAGCCCTCCACCAGCCAGTATGTGTCCATGAGGAGTCAACATAACGCTGGTCAATAAGAATATTGAACTGATCCACAACTGATTTGCAATGATACTGCAGAGGACCAGGGTGGGTGTTGCGAAATAGACCATGTCCACCGGTCAATTCTCAGGCTTTGTGTGACACTCCCTGAAGTAAACCGAAATGGAAAATGGACGAACATGGCCCCCCTTGCATCAATCAGGGAGTCTAGTTAGTTGCTGTTGGGGGGGTAGAAGTTCACAAACCGACCGGGTCGCACGACGCTTCCACTTGCGGACGATCATGGTGGACATGGGCTCCAGGTGAAAAGCAATTCCCATATCCCATCTCCAAACAATGTCGGGCAAAAATGGTGAAGATGAGGACCAAAACACCCATGTGCAGGGTATGCTGAGGTATGCCCAGATGGTCTTCGGATGCTTTTTTGGGTGATCAAAAACAGATGGTGTTCAAGGTTTTGGTTCCGCAGAGGAGTCACTCTTGAAACACATAGGATCTTATAGGTAATAATCACCTGCCAGGTGTTTTTATGTGTGTTTTTAATTTTTGGTTGGTTGGGGGCCCTGTTACAGTAACGTACGCCGTCGCGCTCGTCCGTGCATTTTTGCTGTCAAGCCCCCCCAACGGCTGGCTTTCACCACCGTGGAACACCTCGGCTTTTCGTCGCTCTTCTTCGGCGAAGACTGCCGGACAAAGCCATGGATGAGAGTCATCGTTCCGGGGAAGGAAACCAGAGTGGAAACCAGGACACCGAGAACACGCAGGGAGAAGCCGACAGGCTGCGAGAAGCCAAGCAGACCAAGGCGGAAGGGAACCTGAGCCTTTCTTGCTCACGCCAGCTATCACGACCTTGATTATTGAGCTCTATTTGTTCGGCTTTTTAACAACAACCTTCTCCCCAGTCCCCCTCCTAATTCATGTGCAATCATATATTTGTTTGCTTTGGTGTGCATGGCATGATGTTGAAGATGATTTTAGCACCATTTGGGGTAGGGGAGTCCTCGTTTTGAAGCAATTGGGTGGTGCAGGATGGCTTCCAAGGTATGGAACTTTGACTCGGTATACGGACAAAAGGTGAGGCCTTATTGGACCAATATAACACCCGTTAAGACTGTATATAATTACTATAAGTTCGAGGCCATTGCTATTAAGGTTGGAGGCCATGGCTATTAGGTTGGAGGCCAGGCCATGTGCCATGTCGCTCATTTGAGCCGTCCACAGGTCGCAGAGAAAGTTGCGCGCATGGACATTTGCATGGCCGAAGTCCTGCGTGCCACGCGGGCACATCAAGCCTTCCAAAACACGGCAGAAGCACTACGTCCCGACTTTGGGGGGAACTTCTACAGCAAGAGTGTCTCGGAACGTGACCAAAAAACGGGTCAAGGAAGCGGGTGTTACAGTGGTTTCAGAGGTTCGATGGCAGCACCCCAAGATGTCCTGAAAAGATGGGGGTCCATATTAACCACTAAACTTGTGTGCCATTTGCTCTGAAGACACTGTAAGTGGAGTAGACGCCTCACGGAAACATACATACCCTCGCCCATTTTTTCTCACTGGAGCTGTGAAGTTGACCGCTTCCGGTGGTTCAATATGTCCTTTATCGAGTGACGATGGGACTTGAAGCATGAATCCTTGAACAAAGAAGGCCTGGACAGATGGCCAAAGTTGTTGGGAAGAAGTTTGGAAACCAGGTGGTTTCTTCGACCAATTCCCTCACCATTCGAAAATACATCCCCTATATATATATAATCACTGGGATATCCAGGATTCCATGGAGATACTTGATTTGTTTTCCTATTGGACAGTCAACTACTTTTTTTTATGACCATGGTCGATTGTCTTGTCTAAGGGAAGTTGACCCTTAGAACATCATATGCTTGTCGGTGTTTAAATGGACTTAAATAGGTTCTTGGTTGTCTTCATCAATTAGGAAGGATTTTCAACAGTCACACGTTTATCTTCAACCGCCGCCACGCTGAGGTTTCATGACCGAGGAGATCGCATGCTTTTGGTCACATTCATGGCATGGTGGACATTGGATGAAGGTCATGACGCTTTTGATTCACTACAATGGGCAGGCAGCAGTTCTGCTCCTCAGCCAACTGCTTCCTAGTGCTCCACAAGCGGCCCTCCTCCCAAGGGAGTTCTCCATCTCGGGATTCGGTTTTAGGGAGGTGATCCTTTGGCTGGATCCCCTCCAGGGTCCATGTATATGAAAATGGTTGAAGTCGAAAAGCATCCAATTTCAATCTCAACGGTCCCTGTCCCAGTTCTTGTGTGCTTGGTTGATTGGGAATGGGACACCGGACACTGGGAAATGCCTCCTCATCCATCCCATCCATCCCATGACATGGGGAACCATGAAACTTGAACCATCTCTTGTCATAAAGTATTTTTCAGGTCAATCTCTACGCCGAATCTACTGGAAAACTTGTCCTGCCAAATGCCAGTGCAATTCCACCTTGATAGAGCCCATTTGATGATCTTGTTTGGCTAGGAGAAGGCCAGAAAATGTTTGCTCAACTTCTTTGTCGTCAGGTCCCTTTTGCTGAGGTTTGGTTCCCTCTTCGCTTTGGTTGCCACGGTTTGCTTCAGCTTGGGGCTTCTACCTGGTATGGTGCGCTTTCCAGAGGCTCCGGACATGCAGTGGTCAACCTGGTCACTGGCAAGTGGCTTCACTGCTGCGGTCTTCGTCTTAGTCCTTTGGCGCCCGCAGCAGCTCATCTTCCTGGACCGGATTTGCATCAACAACAGCGACGCGGAGCAGAAGAAAGCCAGCATTCTGAGCTTAGGTGGCTAGGCGGTGGTTTTGGACATGTTTGTTTTTTACCATATAGTGGATCACACATAGATGGTATACGGTCAACACCTATTAAAAGACCATCTAAGCGTGAGTCGTATGCCATCTATGTGTGATCCACTATATATCCAATTTGGATATCTTTGGGTGATTGATCCCACTGGTTTCATTTTTCGAAACCACCTGGTTCAGGTGGAATCTTGAAGAGGTCACAGAGACTGATGGTGCTTTGGGATCCATCCTGGTGCGATCGCCTTTGGTGTTTGTTCGAACTTGCTGCCTTCTTGAAGAGTAAGCAGGCCCAAAAGAATCAAGTGCTACTCGTCCAACCCACGATCCTCGGTCCATGCTCGCTGATCAATTTCTTTTGCGTGTCTTTCGTGACCTGGCTGGCCAATCCACACACACACACACTTGGGAAATGCGTACGGAAATGAATGCCTCATGCCACAATGCCGCCACACGGCAACCTAGTTGAAACAATGGCCTGAGTAAAACGGGAAGAGTAGGTTGGAGGCCATCGCTAGTAAGTTGGAGGCCATCGCTATTTAGCTCAGCTTCCGCAGGTTCAGCCTGTCGTTGATCAGTACAGTCATCTTGAGTACAAGTAAAACAAGGCAAGAGTACACTGACAAATCCACAATTGATTACCCATTTCAAGGCACGACATAGCATCAAGGACCCACTTGAGATTCGCAAACACTTGGACAAGAAAGCTCACGTCGAGTGCCGGCGTTCAATCCAACGAAAACGTCACATCTCCAGGTCTGACAGACTTGACATTTAAAAGACTGAAAAGTGCGGGTACGCTTACAGCTCTCACCATCGGCCTCTTCGTTGGCCATCCACCAATGGTGAGGGGGATGGCCCCCTGCTTATAGGACCAAAAGGCCCCCTGTGAACCCAAGGGTGTCACACACACACACACATTTGACATCTTAGTATGTACAGAATGCGCCTCCTTGCGAGAAGGCCTGAGTGAACAAATGGCCTGAATTCACCATGTTTGTTTTATGCAGCGGCGCGTGGCCGTCCAATGTATTGGACCCAGTAGGAAATTGAACGGTCATCATGTCTTCTTGCAGGTACGTCAACTCGGCCTCCCGAATTGATGCCGTTAGCGCAATACCACTTGCACGGTCCCTGTTACCCCTGCGTGTGCACGTCTAAAATCTAAAAGCAACCTTGATTTCAATGCTTACACACACTCACACCTTTGAGTTCTATTTGGTGCACAACGTTTCAACGGTTATTTTTTACTGGACCCTCAGTGAAGTACCAGCCGTCACTTGGAAAGCCAAGATCATGGAGAAAAAGCACTCACCCAATATGGGTAACGATTCTTAAGATCTAATCAGGGTCTACTAGACTTACACGTCGAAAAGATGATGAACTGAACCGACTTTTCCAATTGAACAGCTACTTGTCAACTGTGTAAGGTGATGTTGCCAGCGACCACCATTTCCTTCGCTGGAGGTTCTTTCGGCTTAGTCGTCCCTGCCTTGGGAGTGGTTCTTTTCCTTCTTATCAGTGACCTGGAGCGTGGAGTCTTCTTTTCTCATTGTTTAAACTTAGATCGATCTTCTTAGTTTTTCCCTGAGTTCCTGTGGCGTATTTCCGAAATTCCCGAACCCACTCTATATTGATCAGGAGATATCATGCGGTTTTTGGTGTTCCGTTGTTTTTTTGATCAGCCCATCGTCCAATCGCCAAATCGTAAAATCGCCGGAGATCGAAAAGTGTACCGTGTGTGTGTGTGTGGTATTTTATGCTCACTTTGGACCTTTTTGTCCATCTGATCAGGTGGCTGCTTCGTCTTCGCCGTCCTGCGCGCCTATTTTCGCTCGCTCGAGGCCCTCAAGGAGAGGTGGCTCATAGCAACTCAGTGGGTCCCCGTGGGTCTTAGGTGATCCACGGGTATCACTAACGTAAGTAACTGGAATTTCAACGGTTGTGTGTTCAGTCTTGGAGAGTCGGTATAGGAAGACATTTGCAGTTTCTTTTGGGTTGGCCGCCCTTTGGCTGCCCGCTGGTCATTCAAAGACCCATGGAGTTGTGCGGTGGGTGCGGTGCCGTCAAGTCAGGTTGCAGAACATCAGCTTCGATCACTGCAGATGTGCATGTTGTGATGTCGACCATATCATCGACCAAGCTCCTGTTTTGTGTGATCGGGAGATTGTCAAGGAAGCTTGCGATTGCAGACATTGCTCTTTTTTGAGGCGTTAAGATGTGTTCCTCCCCGGTGCATTTCTTCTCTTGGAAGGGATTTGAATTAGACGGATATACTGGAAATACCAACCTTTGAAGATGTCAATGTAGCAGTGGAAAGCACCCCTTGTTTGATTGCGCAAAATCAACTTGATTCTTCTTGAGATGTTCATTTTGCACTGATATGTTGATTTTTGTTCAACAAGTTCGCGCTTGACTTTCCAACATCTCAGGAATGTGTTTGCATTTGGTTCGGCAGCACAGAGGGCTTTGAAGATTGCATCAGATCTGAGGTTTTGGAGGTCGTCACTAGCAGATTGCAAGATCAAGTCTTCACTAGACAGTGGATCCTGGCGGTGCATATTCCAATTCTTTGGGCCTTTTTCGACTTTGTCGCCTCCTATGCACTGATGGGTGAATATGAGGAAGCTCTTCCACTGATCATCGAGGGATTGGTGATTTGGTTCTGTTGTAGTCCCATTTTCGTGGATTGCATCACCTCCTTGGCCTGTCGCTACAGCCAGAAGGCCACCTCAACCTGTTGGGAGATCCTCACGAACATCAGCTTAGTGCTCTTGGGCTCCGCTCTCTTCAGTGTCTTTGTCCGCATCCCGAAAAAAACGGCTGATCCTGTTCGCATCTAACATCATCCATCGCGGGTCACACAGTGGGAGATGCTTCAGGGGAGTGTTTTGTCAGTTAGATGGTGCAAGCATTACAATTACGACTATTGTTGTTTCCTTTGGCTTATGATTTTATGCGTATATATTAACACAATAACATAATACATATAACACATGTATCATTACATATTATTACTGGTACATTTTTGTGTATGTATATATGCACATGTATGAATGCATGTATACACATATCTTCATGAACAGTGGCTCTTACTGGATAGAGGGGCAACCAAACTCTAGATGTGTTTTGTTCTGGCTTGAATCAATTTTCTGCAGCATCAACCTGACATATGATTCAAGTTGTTTGCGCAAGTAAGGTGTCACAGGGGCAACCTACGTTCTTTGCCAGGGCTTTCTACCCCTTGACAAGAACTGGTATGCGACTGCAGTTTTTGGATGCCTTTGGTGCATTTTAGCCTTGGGCCATTTTTGCTACAAAGCTTCATGCAGGTCTCACAAATAAATCTCGTTTATTTTTTGTAGCTTTTTGTCTTGGCTGTCGTGGCTGAGCATACGGATCGACCTCGGAGAAAAAAAGATCAGATGCCTGACACTACGCTGCAACCAACGCAATGCAATGCCAGTCTCATGCAATAGAGAGGCAAGGCCAATTAGCTGAGGCTCGAGCTCTGGTGCCAAGTCGCCGGGTGGCCGAAAACAGCTCCGCTCAGGATGTGAAGTTCCAGGAGCGCTTGTTGAGACCTGTCGAAGACAGCAGGGGAGACTCAGACGGTGGGGGGGCCGCTGGTTCGAGGTTCCCAGCTGGGGGGAGGTTCCTGGTGAGGTCTCTATACTACATATATACTGTATAATATGTTAAGCTGGAAAACACTATATATATAATATGTTATGTGTCTTCCACTATAGCAAATATATAATTATATATTTATGGAATCATATTTATATATACTGTATGTGGTTCAGGGAAACGGCCCCAAAACCATGTTCCTGCGCCACTGGTCAAGAGTCGAAGCACTAAACTACGACCCGGTGGTTGTCCCCATGCGCTTTTCACGTGATGAAGGGTGACATGATGTGACATGTACCTGCCTGGCGACCCAGGTCACTGGGCGAACGTGGCGAATGTGAAATCTCTTCAACACGCATGGCTTGTTGGACTTGAGGTCTCTTGATGCATAACTCCCCCATCTGAAGAGGTTTTTCAAGTTCTTAGTCAAAGAGGTCTACATGATGGAAGATCCTGACTGTCTACATAAGCGGGGAAGCCCCGGTCGACCTCAGGTCTCCGCAACCTGGCGACGTCGAATTCCTTTGAGGCGCCCGGTCCTCAGGACACTCGCCACTCCCGGTGTGCAGATGGATCTGAAGTCTGGACATGGATTCCAATGAAATGAGGTGGAGCCGAGCTGGCAGTTGAACTTCCTTTTGAAGATCATTTGGAACGACAGTTTGCGGCGGATAATTCTGCTACAGCTAGCAGCTGTAGCAGTCCTTTGCAAATGGATCCATGATGGTAGAGGTGTAGAAGCTGACGCAAGGTTGCACCCCTTGTGAATCGCACCAAATCGCACTTAAATCATGTGCTTCCCTTGCCGTCCGAGGTGGCAGACCATGGTGGATCGGTGGAACATCCCTTACTTGGGCCGGGCTCGCCCGGCGCGTGGGACCCGTGGGACCCGTGGTACCCGTGGTCCCGTGGGAGCGCATTCCACGTTGGCAGTTGCTTCTTGGGGGCAAGACCAAACAGCTGAAGGAAATGTGGCGACCAGCCCATCAGTGGAACCAAGTGATCAAGAGCTTATATAATTCATGTATACAATGCCGTTTTTTTTAAAACCATTACCTTGACATCTGATGCGGGACTCCGTGTCGGATGCTGTTTAGGAATGGATGTGATTCGCCGCTGTCTACCTTCATGTCTACCTAAAATGGTGTTTTCAGGAAGACCAACTCCTCCAGGTGGCGTTTTGGGAGACGTTTCTCTGGGGGGCTTGCAGCAACCGGGTCCCTGGCTGCCCACTCTTTGGGCGCCATGTGCTCCATCCCAACCAGAGGCTCCCCAAAGCTGCCACTCTATTTAGCAGCTTCTGACGTGAGAGTGAATTTCAAGGTGCCCTCCCAGAACTGGCCGAACACTCTTGGGATTTGGCCGAGTCATCGTCCAGAAGCTCTCATGGGCAGTTTGCAGATGTTGGCCTACAGGAAAGGGTAATCGAGCTAAGACCAAAACCCAAAATGGATGTTAATAGTACAACCATCCAATTGAATTTTCAACCAGGTGTCCTTGCCGTGCCTCAATGGTTTCAGACATCTACGGGAGCATGCCCAGAGCTGAGGCCCACGCTACACTGGAGAGATCCTGCAAGACTTGGGTGTCCAGTTGTCAAGGCGGGATTGGCGCACGACAATGGCCAGGGTGGGCCAGGGTGGTTTGAAGCTGGGATGCTAGTATTGTTTGCACTCCCTTAGAGCACCCACTACCTGACACTACTCAGAAGGCGGCGGGAGACATTCCTTGCCCGCCTCACAGAGCTTCTCAGGAGGTAGTTGGAGCCTTTGTGAGTTGACTCGTGCTGGTAGTGTTTTTTTCTCCGCATTCGTTTGAAAGGAAGCATGTAATTGATAGACTTCCAATGGGAGAATAGATCTACCGTGTATCTATCTATAGTTACGCCACCCTGCAGTGACACTTTAATGCGGTTTAGTGGGCACACACACAGACACACACACATATATATATATATATATACTGTATATAAACACATATACATATACATACAGAGTCATAACACAACTCAGACAAATTTGCAATCAGCACTAGTAAGATGACAGCTCAGAGAAAAACTTCTATTTGAGCCATCATTGGCCATCATAGTTTGGCGGAAGAAGCATCGAATTTGGGTCTCACACCACCAAACCCGATCGAAGTGATAAGAACCAGGACCGCTGTGGTGAAATTCGTCGGACCGCTTCGTCAAAAGCACCACGCCACTATTGAAACAGCAGTTCAATTGACGTTTTTGAGGACGCAATGCAGACATGGAAGTGGAACCCCCCCGTTTGTAGAGGAACATGGTCATTCCAGAGGCCTTCCACTTCAAAAGACATGTTTCAGAGAGAGTAGATCCGCACAAGCAGAGACTCCTATATAGGCAGTATGTGCTTGCTTTATCCAACCTGAAGGATGCTGCCATTATCGGTGTTTCTCGAGAAACCATGCACAGATTCCAAGGATCCATGCGTCTAAGTGAGGGTTTCGTCACATCTACTGTAAGTGAGGAAAAAACATCCCAACGCGTCGTGTTTCCGGAACTGATGTGACCGACCTGTGACGGTCGTTGTCCCATGCTCTTCCTTTTTTCGAACAACACGAAGCCCAAATCCGATAACACAAATGAAGTTATACTAAGTGAGCAAATTCATTTTTTTTCATTCTGGGCTTTCAGAGGTCTAAGACCGCAAGCGTGAAAAACATGCCTGAATTCAATCCATCTCTTCGAGATCGTAACGTCGTCTCGCGAAGTCGGGCTGCATCTCGCCGGTCTCACTCGAGTAAGTGGCAAGCCGATCAAACTCAACAACAATGTCGCTCAACAAAGCATCCTCAGTGGTCGAGCATGAAGGCATCTGATTCTGCAGAGTCAAAACATGACAAGCGGCAAAAGCACCATTCAACGCTGGTGGGTATTCCTTCGCAGCGGTGGTTTTCCAGGCCGTTGTGGCATCTTTGCCGGAGAGGACAGTGAGGTTCTGCCAGTCAACAGCGTTCTGGTACGGTTTGCACAACGCTGTAAATCGAGGGATGTGAGCAACCATCAAATGGGTCGGCTTTGCAGCCGGGGAGCCAAACCTAGCTTGCCACACCAAGTGTCGCTGAACATGAGGATGTTGCAACAATGCTATCACCCAGGGCAATCTCCAAATGGAAGCGCGAGAACCTAACTTGGGCTCACGCGGATGCTCCAAAATGCTTGCAGTCCCAGCTATGGTGGCAGCCATAAACAGTCGCAGCGAAACAAAAAGGAGGTAGCTAGAGATCCATAGCTGCTGGAGCTCAGCCTTCACGAGACCTTCCAACCCAAAAGGATGTAGGTGGTCCCGAAGTGGGCGGACTTCGCCCGGCAGGTGTCTCGCTTCACTCCAAGTTTCGCAGGGCGGGGCAATCAACAAAGCCACAACAGCACGTTGCGCAATCCACCGCAGAAGCTGTTGAACCAGAGCGGGTTTAGTGACATCATGGGAGTCACTCAAAGCTAGGTCAAGCATCAAAACATGTCCCCTCATGTCATATTGTTTTAAAAGCTGTTCAACCTGCGACTGGTAATCCCCTGGTCTCCTTCGCCCCGAAAAAACATATAAAAATATGCGGAAACTAAAGAAAGGTCGAGGCACAAATTGCGGCCAGGTCCACTTGGTCCGACGTTCCAGCTGCACCATTTCGGCCATACGTGCAGCGATCCAAGTATCCTCCAGCAAGTCATCCTGGGCTGTAGGGAACGATGAAGCAGCTGGTCCATCCGGGGCCGTAGGCCAAAGCTGAACATGCGGCAACAGGTCATGAAAACAGGCATATGTCACATTCCATGGGGTGAGCAATTGCAGCAACAATGAATTGTCTTGCCACAAAAGGAGCGCCTCATGAAAACATCGTTGCTGATCAATAATGAACCAGTTGATGGAACCATCGGCTGGACACAAAATTTCAAGCAGCTGTTGGACATACATGCCATGAAACGATCTGTCGTTCAACCCGGCCAAAACACCGAAGATATCGGCGGCTTCAAGCGATGGGCGAAGGCGTGCAATCCATAACTCTAAGTCACCAACGGCCAGTGGGGCACAAGGCCGGAGATCACGACTCGCTTGGGAATATGCAACCGTCCACGGCCAAGGACGCAAAGGGCCCTGGGCCTGACTCGATGGCCAACGATGTCGGCTACGTCTGTGCTGTCGTTTCGTAACCAATCGAGAGCTGGCAGCGTCGTGCTGGACTGCTTGGAGCTGTGCATTATCTAGGGGCGGGACTAGGGTGATTAACTTAAGCAGACAGCCTGTGCGGAAATACTTGAGGTGATGCAACACGGAGTCTCTATGGTCATAAATGCGAAGACAGGCCCGACAGACATTCGAGCTGGTGTACCGTTGGGCCAAATTAACAGCTCGATGCTTCTGAAAGGCATGGGCTCCCATGGCACGAAGAGATTCAAACATCTTTCCACAGTCGGGACATTCAAACTTGCGATCTATGGGCGGGGGGGTGAGCAAATTCCTTCCATATGAAAACACGCCGAAAAGAGTCTAGGTGTTTTTTCTTTTAGCGTTGGAATTCTAGGGGGTTTAGCTTGCCACCAGCCTTGACCTACTGCAACTCTAGACAAGATACTGTAGTGCTTGGCCAGCCCAAGCCGACCCAGGCCAGTCAGACAGCAAATGCGACAGCGGCCACATGAGCAAAACAGAGGGCATGAGAGGGCGGCGGTTCCATGGGACGATGCATTGAGAGACATGGGTGTTAGGGAGCCTTCCGGTTAGACCCCGTGGAAGAAGGGAAATCAACTAAATCCCATTGGTTTGGGTCTCCCCAGTAAATGCGCACCCACTGTGAATCCTGGACATCTTCGAGGTTTGCCGGACATCGAATGACCACGCTGTTTTGGAATGATGTCCAGCATGCGCCATGTATGTATATATTTGGATGTACGTGTATTAAATGTATATATATATATACTGGTGACTTAGAAAATATTGGCTCGGTCGGTTTGGATGGCCCACTCCTGAGTCAACCGAATGTTGAAACAGCATGCTTAACCCCCGCCAGAGAGAAAAAATCATGTCATTGAACAGCGAGTATTGGTCATAATGATCACACAACACAGGGGTTTTGAACAAAGCTGTCCAGCACAAGTCCTTGGGTTTTGCCCGCCCTGAATCCTTGCTTTTCATTGTTTTTAGTTGTTTTTAGGTTGCTTTAGCACTTGCTCCAGAAGTCCTAGTTTGTAGCAGGCTGATCACTTAGGACAAATGACAAATGTGCTTTCTAACAGATTCCCATGCCTTGATGACTTGGGATTCTCTCATTTCAGCGCTATCTCCGTGATCCCCAGGTTCGTCGTCGTAGCGCCCTCGTCGGAAGCCCGTCTAAGCCCGGACTGCCCTGGATCTGTTGGGTGCCATGACTGCAGGTGGAAAGGCAATCATAGGTGGCAGCAGCTGATTGATTGAAGTTCAGTCTTCTTGATGACTGAAGACAGTGCGGGCGTTTCTGAAAGACTGCCTGCCCTGCAATGGAAACGGTGCGGGGTGCGGGCCCCAAGGAGGCACAGCTAGCTCTCATGAGGCGTTGTGGGTCAGGCTTTGAGGCTTCGAGCAACACTCGCATGAAGAAAGAAGTCCAACCGGTCTAGTCAACACCCCAACAAGTAGCAAGGAACACACACACAGTCACCCGGGAACAAGGCCAACACTGTAGGCTGTAGGTACTGTAGGAGTTGTACCCGACCTCAAGATCGTAAAGAACTGTGGAGTGAATGCGTCCTTGCTATATACTAGTAGCGTCCTGTTCCTAGTAGTAAGGCCAAGCTCCTAGTAGCAATGCCCTTTGTTACTAGTAGCTTCTAGTTCCTAGTAGTAAGGCCAAGAGCTACTAGTAGCGTCCTTGCTCCTAGTAGCAATGCTGCTTGTTAGTACTGTAGTAGCTTCTTCTTCCTTTCTGAATATTCCTTTTGGTCCACCCCCCTGGTCAGAGCCATGGCAAAAAATGGCCTCTCCGCGCTCCAGGCAAGCTGTAAGGAAGTGGGTGTGAGATGTTTGACCGACCGATGGTGTGCTAGCCAATGATGTATTTTAGTCAGTATAGAGATGTAGTGTGTAGTCGTTCAAGATGACATGAAGGAGCCGCGGAGCCGAGCTGCAGATTGGGAGGGGGGCAACCAAGGTTGTTCGGGACTACAAAGGTTGATCTGACTTGAGTGACCAATTGTTGCATCACCCTACAGGCATGCTGCAACAGCACCTCCCCAAAGAATCAATGGTTATATATACAACACATCTTTACCATCTAAAAAGGAGTGTAAGGCGCTTGCAGGATGCACCAGGACGTCAACAAACCATGGGTCTCACGACGTGCCACAGAGTGCAACAGACACCACCCACCAGGCCCGTCTCGACCCTTGCGGTGCTTCGCGGCAGGTCTGATTTGAACGCCGCCTGGCCCGCCTGGGCCAATGCTGCCCAGGAGCTCCTTGGTGCCAGCTGTGAGCACCATCGCCAATCGGGCTGGACTGGAAGAAGCATAGATCCAACAAAAGCACCAGCATCAAGCACAATCACATACAGTAGCCCAAAGCGGTTGGCTTGGAAGACCTGTGTGTTTGTTTCGTGTGGTGCTGCTTTGGTGCGCATGATGGGTAGTAAGAATACTGTTGACCATTGTACCTGGCCATACCTAGGAATGCCTCGGCTAACGCGGATTGCGCCACCGGAGGATGCCCTTCACCTCCAAGGTCTGCAGGGGCCGCCTTCCGGAAAGCGGCGGACGCTGCGCGGGTGCATGCCGGGCAGGCGCGGAGCGAGTCCCTGGTGGCCCCCAGAAAGCGGTGAAAGCATCAATGGGGAAATCCGTGCCACCGTTGAAGTGACGCGGTTCACATACTATGTTGATATATTTTTGCATATTATATATTTTGCAGAACATGTAGCGGTACACATATATACAATTATTATATATATACGATGTTTTTAGTGTATTATATACACTCATATCTATAGATCTATATACATATATCACTATATATATACACACATATATTTGTGTGAGTATGAGACCAGGGGCCGAAGCGATTGGACACTTGTGCCGTGGAACGAAACAGGAAGGTTTTCCGAATTGTGGCTGGAAGACAGGCGGTTCGACCAGGTGGGCCTCTTTGCATGTTCCATACCAAAACTCTCTCCAAGAGTTATCAAACCCTTTTGCTGAGTAGAGCCTATAGTTGAAATGGTTGGTTCTTGACAACCTATGGAGTTTCCCAGTAAGTGATGTCGGACGTCCAGGTGAAGGCTGCGGTGGACAGCCAGGCCTGTAACTGCTTGCTCTTGTACTGATACTGCGCGAGCAGTGGGGGTTGCGAGCAGTGGGAGGTGCTGCCAAAAGGGCAGGCCTGGAAGATAATGGGGGTTCTTTAGGTGGACATGGCAGGTATGGCGTTGTTTCGTAAGGATCAGGAGCGTGGCCACAAGGTTTTCAGTCGATAGCAGTAGTGCAACCCTATGAACATCTATGAACTGCAGACGAAAAGTCTGAAATATAGGGTCAGGGTCAGTCAATTCTTGTTTTGTCAGTTAGCTTACTGGTTGCTTGTAATTGGATGACATTTTGAGGTGCATTCACTCCTTGTGATGACACCACCAGCCCGGCGTTTCTGCTCTAGGTCTGGCCAGGACTGCCTCCCACAGGTGGAGCTGCCAGCGTTCGCTGCCGTGTGGATTTGAGCGATTCCAAGTTCCAAAGGAGTGGTTTTGTTCGTCCCATGCAGTGAGTGGATCATGCTTTGGGCGCCCCGAAACCCCTCCAAGTTCGGCACTCCGACATGGAGCTGCTAGGAAAACGACATTCCTCGCATTTGCTCATTGAGTGTGGTCTAAAAACTAGGCTTGACATGAGCAGGTAAGACCCTCACTGCCAGGAAGATAATCAGACCTTTGGTCCACGCTCTATTTGGGCTGATTCAGAATCCTGGCTGGTGTAGAACTGCATAACAACTCCCAAGGATCTTCGGGTTGAGAGCACCTTTGGGAAAAAGAACAGATCGCATTCGTGGACTGCCATGCACGAGCTGTATTGGACACCCCTTGGAAGGTCCAGCAAACAAGACTTGAAGTGCATTAACTAAGCCTTGGGGAGGTTAATCTGGAGTCGGTCCCAATTTTTGTGCATCTTAGAATCTTGGTCCAGAGATTCCCAAAAGCTTGCCCGACGCCTCCACCTCGCAGTGGCTCACCCTGGGCGCGCGGAAAGACGCGCTTCTTCCGCGCGGAAAGACGCGCGTTTGGTCGCGGGCGCCACACGTGGCGCCGGTGGCACCAAAAGATGGGCCAAGTGGTGTCCAACTCACCACATTTGCAAACCTGTAGCCATCTCGGACGCTCGGCGTGTGGCTCTTCCGGTCGCTTGGGAATCGCCTGGGGTGCGGCTGTTTTTGGTTGAGTGAGGCCTCATTACGCCTGGGGCGTTCAGGGAACTCCAAGTGCCCCACATGACCACGAAACACGGAGTGGCTGCACGAACCGGCAGGTCCGATGATTTCCTCCACGCTTGGGGGTAAGAAAGGCCATTGATTGGAACACATATTGGAACACCATGTGAAACACCATTTTTGGTAAAATTGGATCCCATCCATCTTCCCACCTCCGCCCTCCAGGAATCTGTGACCCCAACCTGAGCACCGTCCGTGTGGACTTCCCCGTGCAGCGCGTGGAGACCACCGCAGCCGACGCGCAACTGGTGCCCACGGCGCGCGTGATGCGAAAGGCCTTGGCGCAGAAGCACACTGGACCGGACCGAGGCCGGGAGTATCGCACATTGGGATCAAGGAATCCCTACTACAAGTCCAGTCTGACCCAGTAAAGCCTGCGTCCGTGACCTTCTTGAATCGTGTTTTTGTATGACCCACGTCAGTAAAATGAGGTCGTTGAGCTTGTAGGGCATTGACGGACTTGACGGACAGTAACTGGGGTCCAATGTGACACAGCTCTTTGGGGGGGAGAAGAAGATCTGAAGACCCCAACCCTCGAAGCATCTCATCTTCCCTATTGCACCCGCCAAGCCACGACCTTTGCCCAGGCATGCTGGCCAAGGCAGAGTGGGAACGACAGCTTCGGGCGAGGATCGAGGAAAAACAACGGGAAGAGCTGGACAAAGCCACCGTGCCTTGGGTTTGACCGGACCGTCAGCTGATTCTGCTCCCCCCAAAGCCGGCGGATCACTGCCACCTCAGAAGGTGCGACTGGGCCCGACGCAGGCGCCTAAAAATGTACCGTAGTCTCCAATCACCGTACCCCAGAAGGCGCGCGAATCGGATCCATAGGGCAAAATTCCAGCCATCTTCTTGACGGGATGGGCGGGTCCAACACCCAGAGGTTCCAAAACCAGATGTTCGAACCAACAAGGGAGCGGTGAAACAACGCATAAGTAGACGAAGGGCCATATGGACCCCGGATTGAAACTTCCGTATGGTTGAGTGTTGACATGTGGTTCAATGACACGCTGGGCTGGCTGAATCCAACCATATATTAGCAAACATCGTACAGGCTCTTTTCTTTACGCCAAGTGCGGAATCATCCTGGGGGGATTCTTGTAACCAGTGCGTGTGGGAAGTGTTACGACTGCCTATATACCTTGGGATAGTTGACAAGGGGTTCAATGTATATATGATGTGTTCCAATCTTCCCTTTCGTTCAAGCCAATGGTGTGGGACGACCTCATGGCCTAGGATGAGGTGCCTGTGGAGTTACAGAGGAACGAGGAGAGGCAGAAAGCGTTAGATGCCATCCAACAAGATGCTCGGAAAAAAAAAAGAACAATGAAAGTGGGATGGGGAGGGGGCTACTGACTGAGATTCTCAGCAAATTGGACACTCCAAGAGCGGGGGTCCTGCGACGGACATTGCCTGTGAACAGGGGACTGTTTCTTTTCTTGGGTTGAGATCAGTAGTGATCGTGCACTTCGTAATATTGAAGTCCTCCGTATCAGGCGGTGCATTTCATGATTTTTCCGACACATTCATGGTTGCTTTGCTGGGTTTGTCTCAGTAATGTTGGCTTTTGATGAATATAACCCCCCGAGACATGGATTGTAAAGCCTTTTCAGGCCTGGGAGATTGAAATATAATCCAAGAGACATATGCTGCATGAATTGCAGCCACATGGTCCATGTTATTGTATGTGTTTCGTAGAGGATTCGCTGGGATTGTGATGCCTGATCTATTTCAACATGGTCAAAGAGGGGGGAGGTTTGAGGATTAAAGACCTATATATACTTAATCAGATTCTGGTCAGTGGAAGCTTAAAGAATTCCCGGCTGACACAGGGTGAAGAAAGAGCCGGCACTGCTCCTAAGGACATGAATGGAGGACTTTTGCTATGTGATCGTTCTCACATCCCATCCCTCAAGGAGGAGGATGAAGACTCGAGCGAGGAGGAGACCAAGGAGCAGCTGAAGGAGCGCACTTGAATATCACATTTGGCTCAGTGTGAGGCACGTTGAAGTGTTCATCAGACAGATACTGTTTCATCCGATTCGTCTGTGTTACTAGTATGTTTGGACAACTGATTGATGAGCTTGGTGTTGGACATGCAGCAAACCCTGCACCGTAAATTGCAACAGTATACTATAATCCTCCGTTTGCTGGTGGAACCCTAACATACGGTGGATGTTCACCTTGATTGCATTTCGACACAACAATGACTTGATCCCTGTGGCTACAACATGGTACAACTTTTTTGGGGAAGGTGGTTGGGGTGGGTGCTAGGGGGGTCTAAACATTTTCTGTGGAGGTGGTTGCGGGTGTAGGGGGCCTATGGTCACTTTCAATTGATTAGTTCAAGGGAATATCTGCAGAAACCATGGGCCTTCACCCCCCAGAACTATCCCATACCCGTCTCAAGTCAATTCTGGGACACTTGATTTGCACTCCAAACGTCCGCGGACGCCCGGCTGATCACATCGACCAAAGCCGTCGAGCTGCAGCTGAGGACTCCAAAGTCTTGGTGGCCGTGGACTCGCAATTCACGACTCAGGAGGGAAGGATGGATGGAAGATGATGGAAGAAAAGAAGGAGTTGTATGGGTATGCAATTGAATAGGCAGACCTCCAGCTAATGGCTTTGGGATGGTTTTGGTCTATTTTCCTTTTCCAGTTGCATGATCAGAAGTGGTTGTTTGTTGAGTTGATGTCGTCTTGTTCGCTTGCCAAAGATCTGCACCAATTCCCAACTGGTAGTTTATGTTGGGTTAAACCTTTGTCGGTGGGTGGTGATCCTTCAAGTAGTTGGAATCCACCATCTTAAACCTCTCTCAGCATCTCAGCAGGCTTGCTTAGCCCAAAATTGGCCCAGAAAGACTTTTGGGTCAGCAGAAGACAGCTGTTGTTCTTCAGCGCCACCATGAGCGAAGAACCATGAGCACAAGTTGGGCGTGCGCACAGGGACGAACTACGGCAGATGAACTGATGACTCTAGACTTGGCAAGTCAATGGATTGGACGTCTCCGGACCCTCGAGGATGGTGCCCAGCTAGCCGGAGACCCGGCTTCGAAGTTCGAAGCGGCGAGGCCTCGGAGGACGAGAGCAAGGAGCTCCTGAAGGCTTTCCTCGCGAAACATGGCTTCGCCGATGCGCATGCCAGGACACGGGACACGGTACTGGGGGGTCACGTGGTGAAACGAATCAGCTCGCCACAACTATCGAAGAGTGACTTCAAAAGGGCGGTGTAAAGCTTACCCAAGAATTATATAGATAACTTGAACAAGCACATGTTGGTGTCCATAAACTAAACGGACTGGGAGGTGCTGAATTTGACCTCAACATCTCCACCATGTGAGTGTTCAAACACTGCCACTGTGGATGTCCACCGCAGGAAGCGGCGTTTCCTGCGAAGCACCTACCCGCTTCACATGGCGGCGCATGAGGGGAACGCCGCCGTGGTCCTGGCCTTGCTCGCGGAAGGTGCCCAGAAGGCGCCCGGGCTCTGGGCGGCTCGGAGTCGCCGAAGCTCCAAGTCGTCATGAGGGTCACTTCATCTAGACTGATGGCCTTTTACTTAGTAGTAACAGGTGCCACGCTAGTAGTAACAGGTGCCTTACTAGTAGTAACAAGTGCCTTACTACTAGTAACGATGGCCATGGTTGGTTGATCAAGTTTAGGGGACGCCCCCCAAGTGTACCACCAATAGGCAAGTGGTACCCAACCGACCCCTCTATTCTTCCCAAAAGGACATCACTGCCTCATTTAGACTGTTGATTCATAAGCCCGCCCTTTTGAATTAAACCACCTCTTTAACTGGCGGGGTTAGGTTTGTAATCAGGAGCCTATTACCAAAACACAAACACACCAATAACAAGGCTTATACTTACTTGAGTTCTACCAGTAGGTCACTGAGGACATCAGCGGACAAGCGGCTGTGCGCGCAAGTGCCAGGAACAAGTTGCAAGATTTATATAGCCCTATCCCTAGAAATCTTGCATACCTTCAACTTATGAGAAGTTACTTTGGTAGGGTTTGGGAGGAGGTAGGCTGAAGCCCTGGGGAATTGGAGTGTAAACCTTTTTTATGGATCTTGAACTCAGGCGAAATCATCACAAAGGGATGGCAAAGACTTCACCCCACTTGTGGTGATGGCCAGCTGAGGGAGCCCTGAGTGAAACAAGCGCTGAGCCATTTGACAGGTTCAGATTGTTCTAATAGACTAGAGGTGAAAGAACGAACACTATAGAATATGTTATAGGTATCCCATGTATATGTTTTGCAAGTTTACGTCATAACCTCCCAGAAGGTTGCAGATCGAACTGCGCTTCACTGCTCCGGTGAAGTTCAAGGACCGTTCGAGAAGGTGCCGTTCATGTGCCGGCAACGACAGTAGGAGCAAAAGAACTCCATCGGCATGACCGCGGAGGAAGTGGCGCGGAGAGCAAACAAGGATACTTGGATGACACACTGGAGAGGAAGATGCACTCGTTTCCTTGCAAGTGTACGGTAGAGTTTGGGGGGTGTCGTATTGCCTGTATAACTGTTTTAGAGGAAGGTGCCCAATGTACACACACATATATATATATATATAATACATATAGTGGACAGTGGAAATTTGTTTTGTTTTTCTTCCCAAGCACTCACTAGGTCTATTAAAAGGTAGCTGGAACATGATCGTAAGACCATGTAAGACCGCAGTCGCACTGCAACGAATCGTTCCCTTCGATGACTCTCCATTCCCGTTCTCACCGGAAGAGGAGATGGGGATTGATTTGGGAAAGGGAAGAGGTCTTTGGAACCCTAGAGAAACCAGTGCATACCAGGGCACCCTAGGGCCCGGGCCCAACGTTTTTCGCTTGTTTCGAGTGCTTCGGAGAGGGTTGATGTTGAAAAGACTCCTGCGTGGCATAGAGTTTTTTTCAAGAAGATTCCGGGGATGGGCAATGCTTCACGAGAAGCATAGAAGGCATGCCGTTTACCGTTGGATAACACTTTGCCCCCACATGATTGGTTGGAAGTGCACAGTGTATCCAATGTTCATCTATTTGTTTGGAATGGTCTCCACGTACGCGCTGCCATGTATTCACGCGCTTGCATGTCCCTAGTGGATTGCCCAGAAGTCGTGTTCAGGGCTCTCCAGCTTCTCCCCCCCCTGCGCGCACAGGAAGGATCCCACCAGAAAGTGTTAGAGGCACTTTGTGCGCCTCCTGAGATGCAATAATTCGATCCACCGGCAGCAGCTGAACCGTTCGTGTTGTGAGAAAAGTGCACAGGTTATTTTTTTTGTGAGTTCCAGGTGCATTTGGAATGCTGATTTTGATACCCCTTGATTGATATTCTATCACAGTAGCACAACAGCTTCCAGTATGAAATGGGCCAACTCAGTTCACTGTATAAACATAAAGCGTCTAAATGGCTGGATCATGTTGAGGCAATTGGTGAGCATAGTTGGAATGCGAAATGAAAGGCAGCATAGTAAAGTAGAAATCCCTCCCCTTTCTCAGGTGCTTGATAGAAAGGATTTTTCTCGATCTATAATAGAACATAGCCATGACCAGCATTCAAAAACGGCTTACCAATCAGGGATTTGATTGGATCTATTATATAAAAGTTCTATATATACTCCAAAATGGTGGGATGATGTGCTATACACCGCAGAATCAGACTCATACGTGTCCCTGGCAAATGATGCTGAAATGTAAAGGGAGTGTTTCCTACCTTCTTCCACCACAGTCTCTTTTGAACCATGAGTGGCCTCACTCTATGTGGGTAAACCCATATCCATCCAGCAACTCACAGTTTTGGAGGAGGTTTCTTTGCCAGTTGGAACTCACCTGCCGTGTTTGCGTCTCCCCTGTTCAGGTGGGGAAGCATCGCCTTTCGAGTCAGAAGTGCCGCTTGGGGCGCGTTGGTTCGGTCGTGGGCTCCACCCCCGAGCGAGCTGAAGAGGGACCCTTTCTTGGGACGTGAAGTTACAGAGAAGCAGAATGAAGAAATTGGCCCAACAGATCCAGCAAAGGACTCCGAAACGCACGTTTGTTTGAAGGACTGATTCGCTTCAACTGGGTGCGGGCGCTCTCACCGCCCATCAGGCCTTTCCATGGCTCTTTGCCGCCGGTTCGACTTCGCGTGTGCCGCACCCAGTCGTCTTCACATCCGGTCGCGCGCGGGAAACGCGGTGTGCCACTCATTCGTGTGGGCTTAGCCCACCAGGGAGGTCAAGATCCAAATCCTCTCTGTGCTAGGAAGGTGAACATGCAATTCAGTGTGATCTCAGGTTGAAGCGTCGGGAACTCCCACAAGGGCTTGACTGGACGTTCATTCTTCGCGAATATGTGGTTTCTTTGGGGGCATCTCTAGGCAACCCTTGGACCTACCCAGACGACATCGCCCCCCCTAAACACCAAAACCATTTCCGAGGAGATGACACACATGTTGGGGGTGGGTCTCTCTACTTCTTCCCCGAGTGGGAAACACTTAGTGAGCAGAGTGAGCACCATATAGGGTCCGCCCCTCAAGTTCCCTTTATATAGGGGGCCTCCTGAATGATATTGACTTATCCCTAGGGCTCCAACCATATCCTCAGAAGATGTTAGACCCCCCAAACCCACCCCAACCATCTTCTCAGGAGGTGGTTGGAGCCCTAGGGTATATATATACGGTTTTGCTTTCAAATGGCATTTGAGCCAGGACTTCGGCCTCGGCCGATGGTCCTAAAAACGACCTCGGTTGAATAGAGGCGTCCCACTGACGAACTCGTGACCAACAGCTCTATGGATGTCTACTATCTTTGACCCTTGGATGTTTCTCAAAAGGACCAGAGGTTGAAGGATCCCAAAAAGCCATCGAACCTCTGAAACTGTATTTGTATGTCACGTAGTATGTCACGTCTTTTCGACTGCCCCTCTCAAGTCTCAACACCCCCCGTGGTGTTTTCCTTGAGCCTCTCCCATGGCTGGAGGCCATCTGCCGACCGTGCTCCGTGCTTCGACCGAGCTCGCTCCGTCGCCATCGCCAGCGCATCGAACTTGACATGTGTGCCAATGGAATCTGGGAATCATGCCGGCTGTTGACACGGATCGATTGGAAAGAATGGACATTGATAGAAGGAAGGTCGCCCGTTTGTTTCAATCACCATCATTCATGGCATTGAGTGTTCCATTGCAACCCCAGTGTTCGCGACATCTCGCGAGCGGTGATGTCGCGTGTCTTTTTATGGTTTTATATGCGGAGACCACCGGTTTGGTGCAGCACTAGATCAGATCACATCCTGGATCCTGCAAGGGGGAGTCTTGTAATTTTTGTTTGGGGCAGAGGAAAGGTGGGAAAGCGTATCATGCACTTCTTGCAGGAAAGTGCTATATGCCACTGTTGGTGAGGATCAATTCTCTTTCTCTTTAGTGTCACCTTGCTTCACCTTGTGCAAAGCAAATCATCCAACCCTGGGAAGGAAGTTAAACATGAAAGCATGCTGCACGACACACACAGAGACGTAGTTCAAATTCTATCATGTAGCCCTTGCACCGACAGCGTCATCGACTTCCCTTCTTCCACCATGGCTCTGTCGCGACTCTTGGACTTGCTTTTGGGGCCTGAGCCTGTGCCGGACACACCCTTCATCAAGGCCGCAACACTGGGCCTCGGCCTTCTCCAAAGTAGCATTTATATACGTGTACCATGCCGAGCTGCATCTGAGAACCTGAAGTCAAGTTGCACAACAATTCGCAAAAGTTTCCGGAAGACCTTTGCTTTTTCCCACTCTTCATGTTCCTTCCCTTTTTTCCATTCCCTTCTTCGCACGCGCACTGGGTTGCAGGGCTTGAAAGATGATTGGCTGGCGGAGAATTCCGAGTCGCGCGAGGAGGAGGTCACCCGCAAGCAGCTCGAGGTTCACCGTCACCGGCGTTCGCCGTCACCACGTTCGCCAGCTATGTGTGTAAACCTTAGTTAGGCAAAGTATAGAGTGAAGAGCGCCACTCGTGACACATTTCTTGCTAATTGGTCTTGCTTCTCCCAAGTTCAGAAAATTTGCGGTGTGATGCTTCAGAAATGCAAGATGCATGTTCACGTGAGCTTTGCAGGTGTTGCTTTATCTTTAGCATGTGTCCCAGAAGTGCGCAAAGACAAAGCCCGACAATCATGCTTTGACTCAGATTGCTCGGATCAGACGGCCTTCACCAGGGCAAAGTTATCATGGAGATCCAGACAGCTCGGGGCTTGTTATATACCGGACACCTTCAACAGTGGGCTGAACATATCACGTGACATCATATCTTGGGTTTGTCCAATTACCTGTAACAGTCGCTACAGGCGTTTACTTGCCATATCTGTAACCATCATCATGCACTGTTATAATAGGATGGACCATGCTATACCCAATATATACATCTCCATGGCTTTTGGTACTCTATGACCAGTGGACCCCGCAAATCGCCCGGCTTCCTCCATTCCGCACACAGGCGCGCATCGCCGACGCCGAGCGCGCGGCCGCGAACGCGGTGGAAGAGCCGCAGAAGCTCTTGGACTTGGCGGAGCCCCGGCGGAAGCCCGAAAAGTCAGAGTGTTTCGGAGTGTTTGGGTCTGAGGTGTGTTGAACGGTGTGTTGCGGGTTGGTGGGCCTTGAAAGGCCTTTTGGCAGGCGGCGGCGGTATGCGGCGGTGTTGTTTTCTCCTGGTCCCTCACAGGTTGAGAAGCGGCCTGCAGCAACACACCTGATTATAGATAGAGGACTGAGCTTTTGTCAAAAAATAGAGATGCACAGGTTGCCCAGCTAGCTGGAACAATTGACTATGTGTTTGGCGGTTTGATCTTGCATGCTTGAGTAGGTGGAAGACTGGTTACTCCATGTTGCGCCACAGAGCTGCACCCTCCTTTTGCAATCTTGACTTGCAACCTGTTCCAACCCTGGGTAGAAGGCTGTTCCAGCGTAAACGCGGAGCTGGACTGGCCTTCTCTAGCCAGTCCACCCAGTGCCGGCACGAGATCGCTAAGCTGCTTTTAGCTTGTGTCTAGTCCCATCGGTCCCATCAGCGACTTTTCTTTGAGGAAGCCTTTGGCGTTTTGACTCTTGGCTGCGCAAAAAGCCGAGCGAAACTGGGCTGTCGCCCTGGTCTTCCAGCGCAGGAGGTTCTAGGGGTCAGTGAAAAATCCGGCGAACCAATGCCAAAGACATCCAAAGACCCTTTTTGGTCAACGACATTGCTATCACAATGCAATGAATTAATCACCAAGTGGGAATTCAGCCCTGCGAGTCTTGAGGGGGGTCTCGGTCTTGTGAAGCATCAGCACCATGGAGAAGATGGGAACGACCAGGCACAGCGACCATGCAGCGACAAGTTTGGTTCGGGGACGACCTTTGTCCACACGACAAAAATCAGCATTATAAAAACGGTAGGAAAACTGTGGGATAATTTTGCGCAAGGAGCCGAGCCCGTGCGTTTATTTGAAGCAGAGCCAGAATTTTGACACGTCCATAGTCAACCTACATAAAACTGGACAACCAACCGTGAAAAGCCCTCCTCCATGCCCTCCCCCCGCTAAAGGCTAATGATCGGTCTGAGTTTGGACAGGAACAGGCTTGACTGAAATGCATATTGATGAGTGCATGTTTGCTAGCATTCTTTCAGACAAACCTGTCCAAATAATACATCCTTTGGCTTTGGACAGGCCAGGAAGCAGAACATAGGGCACTCTCGAAGTTGCAAGTTTGGGCCTAAGACCTGTGCGTCAATCTTCTTTCCGCACAATTCTGCCACAAAGCAACCTTCATGAGTAGTAATAGGTACACTCTGGGTCATTCAGATATCTAATGAGACAGAACTTTCCCACACCCTTTTTCGAGGGCCGCTTTCTTGAGAAGTGCTCCTTATTTCGACCACTACGACCGTGCAGATCAACGACCGAGAATCCCAGAGACGCTCTCCGAGGAATCCCAGAGACCCGCGCTGTTTGGACACCTGCGAGATGGTGGTGAAGTCACTTGGGTGGAGTGGCACTTGGTGGTTTCAGTGGGGAAAGAAAAGGATCCCCGTAATTAGAACTGTTTGATCGTTTTGTTTTCAGTGGATAAGTCATCCTTTGCAGACTATCTACCAGAATGGCCTTTGAGGACAAAATGCTCTCCCTCCGGTCATGGAATCATGGAAGTGGACGGCCCCTTGTAAGTAGACAATACATGTCCATACTGACCATACCCTCCCTTAAAAGGTACATGGTTTTGTCGACGACCCCCTGTTGTAGAGGATTCTTTTTCAGGGTCCATGCTATCCGCTGCCATCGATAGTTGGACCGGAGAGCAGGAACCATTTGAGTCTGGACTTGCACCCCAACCGACGGTTCTGGCAGCGTTTCAATGGCAAATGATCGCTAGGAAGAATTGCACCTGTGCTGTGCTTTGTCAAGGCGGTTCATGATTGTCAAGAGTGGCACTTAGCAACAGCCCTGAGATCAACTTTGGTATCACAAGTAAAATTTCCTGTATAATAACTGTATATATGTTTGGGGTCTCTAGGATTTTTCTTTGCGCACCTGACCCAGATCTCCAGCTTCTCCGTGCGCACCAACTCCCAGGTTCTCCTTGCCCTTCCTCAATCGTCGTCGTCAGGGCGACGCACACCAACTCCACGCGCGGAGCCTCTTCCTCCGCGACGACTTTGCAGGCGCCGTGCAGGCGCTACAGCGCGCGCAGGACGGAGATGGAGAGGGAGGCTTTGGGGAGGGAGGAGCTGACTGGGGACAACGTCCAGTGGCAACAACTGCAGTGGATCAACTCCATTCATGTTGCTTGTTGATGCTTGTTGATTTGTTGACCATCCTGGACTTGAAGAGGTTTGACCATCCTGCAGTTGAACCTCTTGGAGAATGAGAATTACTGTATATGAATCAACCGTTACAAAGGCACTTGTTGCCTGACAACCTGTGTTTCAAAGCGACGATGTGGAGACCTTCACTGACTCCGCGGCGAGGGGGGCACGACTCGCAGAGTGAGAGACCGTTGGCATTGCTTCCCAACGTGTGAAGAAGCGGAGAACCTGAGTTTATAACTTATAACTGCATATAACTGCCATAACTCATTCTATATTTTTTCTTTAGAGGTCACGGGGGGTCTTCCCACAGCAGATTCGTCAAGCGG